AAGTAATTGTCCAGTTAACAACCTGTATATAAACCAGCTGTTATGTTTTAACAGCAGGATTGCGTGACGTCGTTGCAGCCACCCTGAGAAAGATATTTTAAATTTATATGTTCTAGAATAGTTTCATGATTCTAAAAAACGGTTATATTATACTGTATGATCGAATAAAAAAATGCGTCAAGTTGGCTTAGAAAGGAAGGGCTCGGTCGATGACATTTATCATATAATCTGACATATATAGAGTGACAACAACCTTCATTTCCTAGCCAACTCTGACGCCCTTTCTTTTCTATCGTACCTTTTTATGGTATAAAAGAAACAAACATATACCTTGTTAATAAAATACAATATCCTAAATATTAAAACAAAGTTATAGTCGCACTTGTATTATATTTTTCACTAAATACTTTTTTTTTCAAAAGTATATTAAAAAAATATAGAAAATATAAATCTTTATTATCTCGTAACATTGTAATTTTGCTGAAAGCTGTACTGTTTACATTCAGTCAATACTAGATATTCGGTATTCATTAAAACATCACTAATTTTACAAACGTATAATTGCTAAAAGAATAATAATTTTACTATGAATTTAAAATTGAAAAAAGAACTAAGTATCTACAGTTCATACCAAATAAACTTTTAGTCACGTGATTAAGCTTGACCGGTACAGCGTTGCCCACTTTAACATATTTTCTTTTAATCAAGTTATTTTAGAAAACAAAAATAAATTAATTATAAATATATAAACAGTTATTATTTACATCAACAAAACTCACCTTCTTAACAGCACTTAAGGTAAAATAAAGGGCCATTACTACTTCTTTCCCGTTCAAAATATTCTAATAAAGTTGCGATGATTTTTTATGGCTTTTAAGCTATCTTGTACACATCCCACTAAAATAGGTTCTAAAAAGAACAATGTTCGAGGTCTGCTAGTAACGATTTCCAAGCTTAAAGTATCAAAACACTATTTATTTAAACCAAAAACTCGTAACACAAAACTAAAGTGTCAAAACGAATGACAATGTCAAGAAATAAATAAATAAATGTGACAACTTGACATTTTTTATAGCAGTGCTACCACCTGAATCCCCAGCGGGAAATTTAAATTCCAGTTAGTCAGCACGGCGCCGAATATGTCCATGGTTGGCAACAATGAATTTAAAAATCGCGTCCTCGATTACGTAGCTAAAAGTTTAATTGGTATCAAATATATGTGGACTAGCCCCTAGCCTAGTATAATAGTTATTATCCACATGTAAAAAAATATTATAAATTAATTATTATTAATAATTTTGATTTAGATTGATCGAAACAAAGTCAATTATAAAAAATGTCTATATCTATGTGGCGGATTCATCTCTCCAAAAAAATTCTATATGGGTATTTCGCCACTGCAAAAATGTATTGCTCATGCATCTGTAGATGTTAGTAATGTATGGCAATCGCTTCTTTGATTTTAAAGAACATTTTACAGAAAGTTTGAAGCGATTTGGTTTAACCTTATTAAGTAATTGTTATCAGGTAGTAATTGTTAATATTGAAGTTTAACTTGATATAATATCATTTTAACAGAACGTCAACGGTTTTTGTAGACGTATCTGTATTAAAAAAAACTAAAGTGTTCTCGGATAGTTGCATTTAAATATTTTAAATAGTTTGTTTCTTTATTCTTTGTATTTTTTTTTGCTTCCAACGGCGGAAAGAGATAAACTTTCCAAAACGTTAAGCATCTTTTTCGTCCGTTAGGCAAATTTGTTCATGTGTAAGCCACTGCTGACAATTTAGTCTCCGTTAGATTAACGCAGCAGTAAAAAAAACAACGCTTTATTGTACAAAAAGCCAAAACAGCTTCATCGACGAAGCAAAACAAAAAAAGCACAAAAACAAATATACAAATAATAAAAAGAATGTCATACAATACAAATTAATTCAAAAAAAATTAGGTCATAAAATTACAAATAAAACATATATGGACTAGAGATGAGCAGAAAATCGCAAACTGCGATTTAATCGCAGCGATTGTAAATTCGCAATCGCAACCTGTGATTCATTTCCATAACAAACTGCGACTTGCGATTGAAACATATATCTGCCGATTTTGGATTTTTAGGCAACCAGTATTACACCAGTTGCGATTTGCAATCGCAGTGGGCACGCGAACGAAGAGCTGCGAACGAAAATCACAGCATTGCGATTTTCGTTTGCACCGGCGGTGCATCGACACGGCACTGAGAAGCCGAACGATGAGCTGGGAACGAAAATCGCAATATTGCGATTCTCGTACGCACCGGCTGGCGGCGGCGCGTCATCAACACGGCAGTGGGCAGGCTGCGATTTTCGTTCAGCTCGAAAATCGCAGCTCATCCCAACATTGCGATTGCGATTTTCGTTGGCACCGGCGGCGCGGCATCGGGAGTGGGCACGCCAACGAAGAGCAGCGATTGTGATTTTCGTTCGCAGCTCTCAACACATCGGCCTAGACTAGATCGCAAAATCACATTCGCAATCATGGCCCCGTAATTTTTATGAAGCGTTGGAAAATAGGCTTATATTGTTTATATACCGCATAATATATATGTATAATTTTTTAGTTTTAAATTTTGATAATAGTTTTAGATTTATAATATAATTATGGATTTAGAAGGTTAAAAAATTCTTGTTTTCGGTTATGACTAATTATAGTTACAGTTGCTCCCAGGTAATGATTCAGGTAAAATAATTCATTCAAGGACAGTTTTGGAATCAAATTATAAAAAATTATCTATTTTTATCCTTTATTTACTAGAAGATATAGAGCACGAAAAAGAAACAGCCCTTTCTCTTTATTATATTTTGTTATATGTATATTATATTATTATAAACATTTTTATAACAATCCATAATATAATATAATTTTCTGAACAATTGTGGATCGGCTGCTATGTTAATTTAAATACATCCTTTACAATCAGTTTTTTCATTTTAGAGAAATTTCAAATATAATAAAATGTGATATTGTCCTTTTATTTATCTAAAAGTTCGAAAGTTTGCACTTGCACTGGACGGGCCGTATCAAAGCCGTCGGCGTCGGCTTCTTTTGAGTTACATATAAAGAAAATGTTTTTAAAAAAAAAAAAGATAAAATAAACAGTTTTTTCTCGTTATCTGAATTAAGGTTGGCGGCAACCTTTTTTATAATAAATTTTCGTTAGTATACCTACAGACTGTCTAAAAGCACATTCGAATATTTTGAACATTTTATGTATTTTTTTCCCAGTTAAATTTATTCGGTCTATTCTTATCAAAAAGGAAACTAAGTTATTTGTGGTTTGGTTTGGTTTGATTTTTTTTTGGTAATTGATGAAAATTTTAAGTGCAATATGTGTGCAGAGCAAAAATATAATAAAAAACACTTTAAAAGGCATATGGCATCGAAACACCCAACAGTTTCTTTGTAAGATTTTATTAAAAAAAAGTATTCCCCTATTTATTCTGTTTTTTCTCAAAAATTTTGGGATTGAGCTTCCCAGTTTACAGCGTATCAATTTAAAAATATCAAAATCGCAATCGCAGGTTACAGTCGCAGCGATTTACAAATCACAATCGCAGTTTCAACTGCGATTGGAAAATCGCAGTTTTGCTCATCTCTAATATGGACGTTGCAGAACACAGGAGACTAGAACATTTTACAAAAGGAAAACTGTAAATGGATAAAATCACGTTATATATCATTAAATAGTTAGAGTTATAAAATATTAAATATTAAATACTAGCCCTTTAACCAGTGTGTGAGATGATCAAAATTTTAAAATTCAAAATTGTTCATGATTAAACAACAACAAAAAAGTCGTTTACTGGCTCTCTCGTAAGTATGATTTCAGAGCTTTGCGAAATGCGGGAAAGAATGAAAGTGACTTGATATTCGAAGGCAAATGATTGTACATTTTCCTGGCATTGTACAGTATTGAGCCCTTAACTAGTTCTGAGCTCGGGGTCCACATTCCTAAGTGGATAGTTGTGAGAAGGCCTTTCCGGAATAGAGAATATGTGCTTGCGGATTAAGCAAACGGATTCAAAAATGAATAAGGAAGGAAGAGTCAGTATTTTGAAATTTTTAAAGAAATTCTGGCAGTGACTCCTACTGTTTAGTCCCAATAAGTATCGAACTGCTCTCTTTTGAAGTTTGAAAATACGATCAAATTTTGTCGCGCAGCAAGTACCCCAGAATGGAAGGGCATAACGAAGATGCGACTCAAAAAGGGCATAATAGACCATTCTAGAGGTTGATGAGTTAAGTTCCTTAGAAACTGATCTTAGCGCAAAACAGGCAGAGCTTAGTTTCTTTGATAAGGCTTCGATGTGCAAGTCCCATTTTAACGAGTTGTCTACAACAAATCCTAAGAATCTCACAGAGTTCACGACGTCAATAGTGGTGTTATTAAGTACAAAAGGTTGTATAGTACTTTTATATGACAAAACTTTAGTTTTTGAAAGGTTGAGGCATAGGAGATTAGAATCGAACCAATATTTAATGGTGTGCCATAATAGTGCCGTAACATCTGGGCCGCTCCAAGTGAAACTAGTATCTAATCAGTGTTTACAAAAAATAACTATTTTATTTGGTAGTGGCGATTTTCTTGCAGTGGCGAAATACCCATATAGGATTTTATTATTTATTTTATGTCAACTTAAAACACCGAATGTCTACCATCAACCGAGCACTAATCAATGCTTACTAAGCACCTTAAACGCTTACTTCAACTCTAAATTCAATTCTCCCTTTACCTTCTTATACTTTCGTTTAAAATATCACTCTACATCTAAGGCCTTTTAAGAATAGGTACCAATAATTATTAATTAATTTATAATTAATATAATCGCTCGACAACGACGACGAATCGAATCAGGACCAATAAGTTTCTAAAAGTAAACGTCTACGCCGATTCGGACTTAATTCCTATCAAACTGGTGATGACGATGACGGCGACGAATGTGATGTGATGAGCGCGAACGCGACGAACGTTCTCAACAAATGTGAGCAATCCGGCAACAAGTCAAAAGAGGGTTTCTGCCTCTCTCAAGTCGGATCTGCTGGTTCCTCTTTGTCGCGGATCGCTTTCAAAAGGTGGCTGCGCAGTTCGGATTCGGAGCTGCGCCACAATTTCACCAGGTCGTCCTTGGACAGGCGGTCCAGCGGTGATTTACCTGGAAAATTCACCAACATTTATTACGAACCTTCCAAAATTGAACTGTCCAGATTTTGGCTCTCGTTTTAATTTTGCAGCAAAGTCTAAATAGTTTTTTAATGGTCTGCTTATGCTGAATACAGATTCCGAATTTGAAAATTTTAAATAAGCCAATTTTAACTAACTTAAGAAACAATACAAAATCAGGTAAATGTCAACATATCTTAAGTTGTCAACGTATACCATTGTCAAATGTAATTTGTTGTGCTATCTACACAACTACGTGATAATCATATGGTAATCACAAAAAAAATTCCGATGCACGTAATCAACTTTGAGTGAAAAGCGATGGCGACAGCGTTGCCAGATTGTGATGGATTTATGACATATTTATTCTATCATTTTTCAAAGAGTTTTACGTTTTATTTTTAATTTTATAACTAATATTTTAATGATTAATTGATTTATTTGTTTTATAGCTTATTTTACTTATTACATACTGGCAAAAACTAGTCCATTATGAAGATTATTGTAATAGTTCAGTCATTGGGGATCAAAAAAGGAGCCTGCTTGGAAAAAAGTCCGGAAGTTTTGAAACTTTGCAGGTTTATAGTAGTATAATCTGCTGGTCAATCAAATTTACTTTTCTGACTGCAGTCAAGGGTAATAAAGGACCCTTATTGCCGCCACGTTCTCGTTCAAAATAGTTCAAAAAAAACAGGAAAGCTACAAGCTCTTTGCTTCGACTGTTTTAATGCTTCGGCATATTTTCAACACACAAATTTCAAGAAATGCAATACAAAAACTCGAAAATTTAATTCTTAAAGGAACTGTTTGTGCTTAAAAGTGCAATTTAAAAAAAAATATGAAAATAGGCAAAAAAACGAGAATTACTCACAAAGATTCAACAACAACACGATATTATACAAAATAATGACTGACACTAGGATAATTGTAAAATAATAAAGGACAACATTGCTGAACGCGGCGCAATGTGACCAACATAGCGATAATAAAATTCGGTTTAAACCATAGGCCTAAAATAAAATATAGACTGAGCATCTCATTCATAAATAGCTGGAACATGCGGTCAGACAATGTCTTGTTATTGTTGTGTTATTGTTTTAGGTTATAACGAGTGCGACACGAGCGATAGATAGGTTGTCTCTGTCGTAACGGTCGTTCCCTGACGATTCTGCCGAGAAACACAACACTGTCTTTCGTTTCTCAAGTACACCTGAACTCTCCGTATCATAGCCGGGTATTTTTTTTATTTTAATGAAGCTATAATTAAATTAAAAATATATCTTATTTAAACTTTTTTATATTTTATTAAGATTTAGGACAGGTTTTTTAAATAAAAGTTTAGAAAAAACAATTTAGAGTCCAAAAAGGATAAAAATAATAAAATACACGTTATAGAAGAAATTTTATAATCGAAATTAGGTAATTTTTGAAATTAATAATAAATTATTAATTTTAGTCAAACATTTACAACCCCTAATATTAATCAAAACAGGATCTATTCCACAGATATAATAGAATCGGCGACAGGGAGAGAAAAAAAAATACGATTGTTGTAATTTTTTTCTGGTAAGTCATGTCTTACGTAAATTAGAGAAAACATAAATCTGTTCCATTAAAGCAAGGAAGGTGATAGGAAGTGGATAAAATGAAAACTACATTTATTTAACTCGGTACTGTCTTTATTATACCGGGTGCGTCCCAAAAGTGGCTCATCCCCATAATTTTTTTTATATTTTCAAATAAAAAAAACAGATTTAGTATGTTAGTATATGACATAAATTAGGATTGATTGACGCATTCAATTCTTTTTGGTCACTTCCTTGGATTTTACATTTTACTAAAATATTATCTAAATAAGCGCCTTTCTACAACAACGCCACTGACTCCCAATGGGTAAATTGAGAGTTGCCTACCGGTCGAAAGTCGTTTCAAGACTTAAATGGATTATTTAAGTCAAATTTCTTGTAAATTTGGCACTGGCGAACCATATTTTATAGTTCTTGAACAGAAAAAGTCAATAAAATAAACACTTTAGGACTACAAGCTAAGAAAATGCGTTAATACAGCCGGGGACGTAGCGGCAACAAAGCTTTACCGCACACGTGCGACGCGTACTAGAAGGTAATAAATGAATGAATAGGCTCCCTCGCCTCTAATCGGTGTTGTCATATTGTAAAGAACTTATCCTTTTTAAACAGTATCCGACTTATAATTTAGTAGTATAAGGACTATTTAATACATCTCTGGAATATTATAACCTACTTTATTAAACTGTAGTATTAATATCTCAATATATGTGTATAACAAGAAAAAAAATATTGATAATATTAAAGACGTGACAACATAGGCTGGATGAGGAAGGCTCGGTCGACTGTACCCAGAAGTAAACATGTGTACAAAAAAGATTGTTTGGCCGCGTTGAGATGTAAATAGTGTAGTCTATATTTTATTTTAAGTCTATGGTTTAAACTAATTTTTGGAGCTTTAATCTAAATAAAATATCTGTTACAATCATTTGCTCTTTAAAGTAAAATAAAGAGCTGCTCGGTATCTTAAGTTATACAACAAATTTATACATTTTTGCCAAAATTTCATTTAATTAGGTTTAGTGCCAATTATATGATTGATGACGTGCATCGGAAAATGTTTTGCTATTACCGTATTTACGACTTCGTTGTAAATTCAACAGAGAGACCAATATTTGGACAGTTCAAAATATGTATGCGAATTCCTATGTTTCCAACAATGATGCACCACCCGGTGGTATATCTGTAATTTTCAATTATGATATACTTAGGTTTACTGATAGACTCAAGCAAAACTAAAAGAAACTTAACATATGTATAATCAAAAGGATTGAAGCTCATGCATATTGTTAATATTACTACAGCTTCAAGGTTTGACAAAAAAGAGCCTAAAAAAATGTTTCCTAGAAGATTGGTTCAATAGGTCTGATAATATATTTGTAACAGAAAATATAAATTATATTCTAGTAATGGAAAATGGCTAAATGTCTGAACACTAGGTATTTATTTAAAAAAAAACGTTCAACTATTGAAAAAGGTATATATTTTAGTCATTAGAAAGAACTGTGGTTCATCTCAGACAGTTAGTGTATTAAACTATTAAAAAAAGTCAAGGGTAAAGATCTATATATAGGGGGATCAACTAATTTTACCATTATGTAGGCTCATATTTGTCCTCTTTGGCCACAGCTGAAAAATGCAAACGACTTTAGCTTTCTACTATAATAAATATAAAAAAGCAACAAAAAATATTTAATATAAATGATGGTTAAATTTCTTTAAATCATTAGTAACTTGTATACAAAAAATACCATTATCTGTTTATACTGATAAACACAAGTTTTATATTTTACTAATTTTTTCTTACTAAAACCCTTCGTGCTACTTAGTAGTAATCAAGATTAAACTTTGTGGTGGCTTCTGAAAAATGGAGTATGAATAAATATCATTGGTTGGATTGGCGATCTTGGCTAGTTTTCAAATTTAGTGTGAAAACTAGCCAAGTATTCATTTTAGCCGTAACATATACACTTAAGGACATCATTTAAATAGCGGTGATTATAATATAATCGGAAATGATAAAAAAGATTAATTTAAATGAGAAAATTAAAAATGTACCTGCTTTTGTATACAAGCAAGTTGAATTTAATGCCGAATAGGGGAACATCGTGTAACTTACCATCTGAGTTTCTAGGAGAACAATTGGGGGGAGGCGGTGCAGGAGGAAGCTCGTCTTCTGTCAAGTGTCTGGACCTTGACCTGGACCTCGATCTGGACCTGGACGACGTGGTCTCGCTGTCCAGTGACTTGGACTGCTCGTGGAGCTTCGTTCTTTTAGGCTCGTTCAGTTGGGGACTCTGAGTAGGCTCTCCAAGGCTTTGGTGTCTAAAAATTGTACCATTAATAAAGAAAGTGTAAAACAAAACAATATTTGATGTAAATTAACATAAAGTTCACATAACTTGTTAATTAGTTTAAAATTCCTGTTTGTTTAAAACACAGAACACTTTAAATTTTGTAACTCCATTATAAAATATGGTTAGATTAGAAGATATTTTTTGTAGTACAAATGGGCTCTTTCACTATATTTTGGAATTAGCATAATTGAATAAAACAATTAATTCTAGAATTTTCTGCTATCTCACTCTCGAAAAATTTGAAGTCGTTCTTAAGAAAATAAATAAAAACAAAAAAGCCCAGAATAAAAATCCGCACTTTATTTTTAATACGTCACACCTGGCATGTTGAAAAGCGGCAACACGGCCGCGGCCGGGCCACCATGCTGACCCATCACCACCTCCACCCAAGGCCATTCAACCTTTTCCAATATGGCGGAGATAGAAGTGCTTTATTTGGCGCGTATTTTAAAACCTGCTTTGTTTCCAAATATATCACAATAATTTACAGGGAGTCTAAAGTTCTCCACATAAGTATGGAGTTTTTTGTATTATTACTTTTATGAAAACATCAGTTAGTTACTTCTTATAAAAAGGTCTGCTTTCTCAGAAAATAAGTAGTGTTAAAATATTCAAACTTGAAAAAGCATATATATAGGGTGTTAAAAATCATCGGAAAAAGAAATAACCAGAAATATATGACAGAAAATAGCAATATTATTATAAACTAAATAGTCAATTGCAAACACTTACCTACCATAGTTTAGAATTTACTCAACGTTTGATAAATATGTACTATTAAGGACAGTATAGGAAGTTACTTGTCTTAGTAAAAGCCTTGGTAAATGCTCTTCGAATTATAAACTACGCTGGCTTGGGTCAAAAAATATGGAATATTTTTTCTATGTTTTGCAGCATTACACAAATGGAAATAAATTTAAGCTAAAATACGTGAGGATAAATTAAATATATATGTGTTTCAAGATTTTATATAGAAAAAAAAACTAAATACCTTTTTGGGGGTTCGTAAGTAAAACTTACGCTTAGCTTAGTTTTCTTTACTCTTTCTCTTTACATAGGGTATTGTCTTTGTGGTAAAGACGTCATTCCTTTTTTTGCATAGTTCTTCAATAAAATATATTTGATATTCTGAACAAGATGGATTTAATAATAAATTCTGACGTATGTGAGGGGCAATTGTGACCTAAATAAAGACTTACATCCAGGCCATTTATATTTTCAAATGTCAATGTTGTCAATAACTTTCTGTGATCTTTTTGATGTAAAAAGCTTGATTCTTCTTCCAATATTTTACTTATAGTGAGGTAAGTGTAAGCAGTAGCTATAACTATATCCTCACTAAGGTAACAGAGGCTTTGGCCTTTGGCCTTTTTGAGGCATATTTAATGCACTTCTTACCCGAGAACTACTAGTAGGAGTGAAATTATCTCTTTTAACAGCTGTCAACCATTTTTTACGAAGCTCGTCATTTTTGGGGAATATAAAAGCAGAAACCTTGGGACCCCCTCTATACCTTCTTTAATACCTATCTTTTGATTATTGTAAGTAATTATTATAAAGTACTATGCAGACTGGCGGCGAAGGCTTTTTACTTATTTAGGTGTAATATCTTGATAAATACTAGTTCTTACCTTAAAATAATTAATAATAGAGGAGTACGACAAGCACAAAAGTTTGAAGTTCTCTATGTGGAATGTCTGGTTTGGATTTTTATTACAGTGTTATTTTATCACAATTTTCTGATTAAACCATGCACTGAACACTAAGAACTAAACAAACGTGTTGCAGAAGCACACAAACTAGAGATAATTAATTATTTCTGGTATGCAATCGGAACGAGAAACCGCTACCGGTTTTTCAGGTTAAAGGTAAACAATTTAATAATGCGCTGCCTTCGCCGCCATATTTGCCTTGCCCATATCATCTTGATTGGCCTTGAGTTGAGGTGGTGCTGGTCAAATCAAATCGCAATGTTGCCAGTGGCGCACGAGCACGGTTCTGCAATGTGATTGGGTGTATTTTTCATACGTCATCAATTGGTGCTTTAAAATTATTTCAAATGAAAGCAATTTTGAGGGCCTATAAAAAAATTATTCAATGTCGCGGAACTATTTTTTGTTTTGTTTTTGTCCTTGAATTGGGTATTTTATTTTTTGTGAAAGAGCTCATTATACGGAAATATTTAGCAGTAAATAAGTTAAGAGTCTATTTCACTAGTCCGAAAAAGTAGCAAAATAAGCGTTCAGAATTTAACGTTTTATGTAAAATTGACTAGGTATTTTTACATAAATAAAGAAGGAAGTTAAAGATAAAGGATTATACTATATCCGTATTGCAGCGCATTTTTAGAGAACTTCTTTATTTTTACGATTTTGATGGTCAAAAGTAACAAAATATTTCTTATGTTTGGACTAAATTTTCTCGAAAATAAAGACATAATTTAAAATTCCGTTACAATACGGAAATAGATTGAAGTTTTGTGATTACAGTGATATATAATTTATATGGTTTTGTAACAAATTGCTCCCTATTTTATGGCAAATGCTGAAGCTCTGCAAACCTTAATCAAGCCTTAATCAAAGCACGTGTGTTTGGAATTTTGGGTGTGGCTTACAAAGACAGGATCGGGCTAAGCCTTAGGCAGATTTCTGAATTATAATATATAATTCCTTCGGCCACACACCCGCTTTACCCGACCTCTGAGAGCTGCCCGAACAGTACAGCGTAATAGACTCTTAAGAATATGATAGAAAAATAAATATTCAAGATTTAAATAATTTTACCTTGTTTTACTTCTAGTAGTTTTCGCTAAAGGTGGGTTCCTTTTGGTGGGCTTCTGTTCTATACTGTCTGTATCTTCCACTTGGATTCTTATTTGAGGGTTTGGACTGTGAGTTGTTTTATTTCCATCGCTGTTGGTTTTCTTAACTTTATTCTGTAGCTGTGACTGTAAAAAATGAAATATAGCAATTAAACTAGTGAAAAATATTTAGTTTAAATCTTTTGCCATCAGATGATGCCCAAGAGACTCTTGCTTTTGAGAATCTGGTATTGTGTGGTCTTGTTTTCGGTACCAAGCAAGATTTTTGCATTTATGTATCTTCAAATAAGGTATAGAATGTTCAGCCATCGTTCAACGTCACGTCGTATATTTTGTCGAACTTTATCAGTCACTTGTCAACCACATGAAAGAGAACGGTAACGTCATTACGGCATTTTGTAAATTACTGCATATTCTTTTTAGTAATTGCCATTGTCATTTGATTTGGGGTTATAATTTGATTTATGGACATCGATTAATGTCAAAATTAAAATTTGATTGTTACTGTAAAACAAAATTCAATTTTTTTTTATTATAAGGAAACGCCAGAACAATAGCCACACTCCTAAAACTCAAAAACATAATACCACCAAATATGAAGAAACTAATATATCATGCATTATATTCATCAAAGAATATAATATGTAATTATACGTAATTAATACGTGGAGTAATACAACAGAAAAAAGCTTAAATCAAGAAGACAACAAAATAAATTAATAAAAACAAATATTTTTTTAAAAAAACTAACAAAAAAATATACACTTACGAAACTGAAAGAAAATCAGACATCAGAACAGCCAAGAGAACTCAAAAAAACCTTCACAAAAACTAACAACAGAAATGGCCACAATATATAATATGTTAGCAAAAGAATTAACACAATTAAATTATAAAAAGTTTAAGAAAAAATTAAAAAAAAAAATGATATTTGAGAAGAGCGTATAAACGTAGACGACATAGACCGATTTATATAAAAAAAGAACAATGCCTTCGATACCATCTGCCCAGGGAAAGTCATAAAAGTCTTCAAACTGTTGCAAACGAAGAAGAACGCAACCAACAACTGCCACGAAGATAGAGCTTAATAATATTATTGAATTGTATATTTTTAAACAGTTGTTAATTGTTTTAGATAATAAATATTATATATTAAAAAAAATGCCTTAAAGATTTAACCAAAAAGTTCTCATTGCTAAGCTTATAAATTATTTTTCTCGCGAAAGACGCTGGTAGAACACTCTTGGGTCCGTGGACGCCGTATATGAAGTAAGTACAATGCAAAGGTGTAGTATTAGTTTTGTAATTTTCTATGTAAAATATAGTTTTTGCTATTGCTATATTTACCAATGACACCGAAATAAATTTATTTAGAGATCATTGATATTTTTACTATAAACTGACTAAATATTTTTGAATATTATTTTTATTTTTTTATTCTTTGACATTGTAAACATTTATAAATGTTTATTTTAACAATAAGACTGACAATATTATTTATATAATGTTTTGTATTATCTTTTGTTTGTTTGTTTGTGTACCTTGTTTTTTTTTCTACTTTGTTTGTTAGTTTACCTTTGTCTACAAATTGAAAAATTTTTTGACAATAAAGGCATTTATTTATATTTATTTATGTATTTATATATTTGCATTGTCAGTAATAAAAATGTCAAATTTATCATCTGAATTGGTCACTAGATATTCCGTTTTATCAATAAGTTCACAGTAAGGTTTATATAAATGTTTATTTTAAACAATAAGACGGACAATATTATTTGTATAATGTTTTGTATTATCTTTTGTTTGTTTGTTGGTGTACCTTGTTTGTTGTGCATTTATTGATTTATTGATTTATTGATTTATTGATTTATTGAGTTATTGATTTATTGATTTATTGATTTATTGATTTATTGATTTATTGATTTATTGATTTATTGATTTATTGATTTATTGATTTATTGATTTATTGATTTATTGATTTATTGATTTATTGATTTATTGAGTTATTGAGTTATTGATTTATTGATTTATTGATTTATTGATTTATTGATTTATTGATTTATTGATTTATTGATTTATTGATTTATTGATTTATTGATTTATTGATTTATTGATTTATTGATTTATTGATTTATTGATTTATTGATTTATTGATTTATTGATTTATTGATTTATTGATTTATTGATTTATTGATTTATTGATTTATTGATTTATTGATTTATTGATTTATTGATTTATTGATTTATTGATTCATTGATTTATTGATTTATTGATTCATTGATTCATTGATTTATTGATTCATTGATTTATTGATTTATTGATTCATTGATTCATTGATTTATTGGTTTATTGGTTTATTGGTTTATTGATTCATTGATTCATTGATTCATTGATTTATTGATTTATTGATTCATTGATTCATTGATTCATTGATTTATTGATTTATTGATTTATTGATTTATTGATTTATTGATTTATTGATTTATTGATTTATTGATTTATTGATTTATTGATTTATTGATTTATTGATTTATTGATTTATTGATTTATTGATTTATTGATTTATTGATTTATTGATTTATTGATTTATTGATTTATTGATTTATTGATTTATTGATTTATTGATTTATTGATTTATTGATTTATTGATTTATTGATTTATTGATTTATTGATTTATTGATTTATTGATTTATTGATTTATTGATTTATTGATTTATTGATTTATTGATTTATTGATTTATTGATTTATTGATTTATTGATTTATTGATTTATTGATTTATTGATTTATTGATTTATTGATTTATTGATTTATTGATTTATTGATTTATTGATTTATTGATTTATTGATTTATTGATTTATTGATTTATTGATTTATTGATTTATTGATTTATTGATTTATTGATTTATTGATTTATTGATTTATTGATTTATTGATTTATTGATTTATTGATTTATTGATTTATTGATTTATTGATTTATTGATTTATTGATTTATTGATTTATTGATTTATTGATTTATTGATTTATTGATTTA